GGGGGCAGAGGGGAGGGGGAAGACAGGCAGAGCCACACAAGCCCCGACCCCTGCCCCATCCCGTACTCACTCCGTCCCAGCCCTGCCCAGAGCCCGCCCTCTCTTTCAGACCTGTGTCCCAACGTCGTCACCCAGCAGCGCCTGGCCGCCCTGTGGTATCTGTGCTACAAGCGGCTGGTAGAGGTGTGTAGACTGGGGCCCGGGGTGGAGAGGGGCTCCAAGCGAGGCCCGCTGCTGTGCTCCTGGGGCTGCCATTAGAAAGGCTTGTGCTGGTGTCCACTTTTGCAGAGAAGCGTATCTCGGGAGAGCTGGGCCGAGCATGTGCAGGTGAGTTCAGAGGGTCCCAGTGCGCAAGGACGCCCCCTCCCCACCGTGGGGCAAGGTCGGAGCGGCCGGGGGTCCAGGATCCTCCTTCACCGCTTGTGAACAGAGCTCTCAGGCGCTGGATGAGGAGAGGTTCACCAAGAGGAAATTCTAGACCATCCTCAGGTGCCCTGCTTGCCATGGCTCTGGGCCCCGAGGCCTGGTGAGCCTGAAGACCCCGAGAAAGAGGCAGGCACCCCTTGGGGTGATGTGGGGACACGGAGGGCCGGACTGCGACCCCATGAGGATAGTGGCGTGGACAGTGTCGTCCTGCAGCCTCTGTCCTCAGGCCAGAGCTGGAGTGGGGGTCATCGCAGGTATAGAGCTATCCCCAGCCCCAGGTGAATCGGCCTGGGAGGAGGGTGGGCTCTTGGGGGTCCCGGGTGCCGTGTGCACAGGAGCTCTGCAGTGGTCAGTGGAATGGGGGGGGGTCCCCTCCCTCCTGAGCACACGCGCAGGGCCTGGTGCCTGTGCGGCATCCAGTGGAGGGCAGTGCCGAGCCGCCCCCGGAGTGACCGGGCAGGGGTGGTGAGTCACCGGAGAGGAACGCGGACCCCCAGGCAAGGCCCGGAAGGCCGGTCCCTCCTGGGTGCCAAGGCCGAGCCGTCCGGAAGGGCAGCGGACATCCTGAAGAATGTGAGGGGCTTCCACGTATTGTCCACGTGGGAACCCGCGGCCTGCGGGAAACGGACAGCCTGAGGCTGCTGGGGACAGAGCCGTGTGGGGAGGTGGCCCCGCCTGCCGGCCAGCAGGGGCTCCTCAGGAGGGTGGGGCCCACAGCGACCTGTGACCTTGCAGACACGGACACCCCACCCCCGTTGGGACCCCTGTGGGCCACGTGGGCGTCTTGCGCCCACACCGGGCCTTGCCTCCCCAAGGGCACAGTGGGTGTAGGGGTGTTCCGTGGCCTCACCCTCCCCGGCACCGCGGCCACCCAGGGGCAGGGATGAGGAGGTGCAGAGGGGAGATGCTGGTGGTGAGGGCCGGGGCAGACCGTGTTCAGGGAGACGGTGCGGGTCCCAGGCCCGGGAGTAGGCCAGCGAGCAGAGCCGCGGTGTTGGGCGGGGGCTCGTGTGTGCAGAGAAAGGCCGAGGTGGAGTGGGTAGCAGGACGGGCCGTGGGCTCAGGACGGCGACCCTTCACTCTGACACGTCCAAGCCCCTCAGCACCTTGGTTCAAGCCAGCTCGGTCACCATGGAGCCTCAGTCATAGGAACTGCTGGTCTTCAGAGGACAGCCACCTGCTTATGAAGGGCTCAGGGCAGGGTCTGAGGGGGGGAGGTCAGGACGAGGTCTGAGTCGGGGTCAGGGCCGGGTCCGAGGGGTGGAGAGGTCAGGGCTGGGTCTGGCCGGGGGGGGGTCCGAGGGGGGGATGCAGGGCCAGTCTGAGGGGCAGATCTGGGTCTGGGGGCTGCCTGGATGGGCCTGACCCCTTGGGGCAGACCAGGCGAGCAGCCCATATCCCGTCCCCCAGGGCCTGGTCGGGCAGGACCAGTGGCTACAGGAGCAGCTGCTGCAGCTGCTGGCGTCTCACGACGACGCGGCCCTGGTCGCCCAGTGTGCCCGGGACCTCCTGCTGCCCGAGGAGCAACTCCCTGCCTCGGTGGCCGCAGAGCTCCGCCAACTCAGGATCCAGGAGAGGTGAGCGTCCCCAGGCTCGGAGGGCCCACAAAGAGGACGCCCTTGGGCCCCCACCCTCGAAAGTGGCCATGAGTCGTACGTGCTGGTGGTTTGGGAATTAGAAGCGCGGGAGAGCTGAGCAGGGGCGCAGGCAGAATGCGGACACGCAGCAGGAGGCAGGCGGGTCAGCCCCTTGGGTGCTAGCAAGACCCCATGGCCAGATCCCTCGGCCGGCCAGATACTCCCAGGGGCCTGAGGACCCGGCCGCCTGCAGTCTGCGAGGGCAGAGGCGTGGGGAGCAGACCGCATAGACCCGGCCCACGCGCGGGCCCTGAGCACTCCCCTGCCCCAGGATCCAGGCCGGGCTGTGCTGTGGGGGCGCCCTGGTGGGGGCGGTGCTGCAGCTCTGCTCCTCCCCAGGACGGCTGAGGCCCCTCTGGAGGACGGGAAGGACGATTACTACCAGCTGCCCATCCCCAGGGAGCACCTCCACTTCCTGGCCTCGTGGGAGGACCTGGCCAGGCACCAGGAGGAGCTCCTGCAGGTGGGTGCCTGACTCCCGCGGGCAGCCGGCTTCAGGGGCTGCTCACCAAGGCCTCCTGGGGCTCTGTCCACACCGGGCACCCTGGCTTAAGGACTCCGGGCCTGAGTCCTGAGCATCGGCGTGGCGCTCGACCCCTTGTGTGGGCACTCGCAGGGCCGGTCCAGCTCTCCCCACAGAGGCCGCCTCCCCTGGACATCAGCCCTCAGGCGGCCAGGCAGGTTGGCGTGTCCTCCCCCCGGTCTTTGGCTGTGCCGTTCACGCCAGCCCCTCTGTCTGCAGCCCGGCCGAGTGGCCGGCACGGACCTGGAGTGGAGGCCCTCGTTCGGAGCCGGGGCCCGGCCCTCATGCAGGTGGCCGTGGAGGGCCGCGTGCTCCTGCTGGGCCTGCCCCAGCTCTCAAGTCCAGCAGGAGGGCAGGCGCGCCGGGCCCTCTTCCGGCTGCTGTCCCGGCTGCTCGCGGACCCCTCCACCACCAAGCTGGGTGAGCGCAGCCCCCGGCCCCGCGCCGCAGCCCTGCCTGCCCAGGGGAGGGTGTCATTGTGAGGCCAGGGCCCCTTCCTTGGGTGCCCATCACAGCGACGGCCCCTGCCCACAGGTTATGGGTTATGGGTTGGCGGGGGACCTGCGGAGCTTGGGTGCCTCCTGCCCGGCCCTGGCCCAGGCCAAGAAGCAGCTGCGGGGCAGCGTGGACCTGCTGCAGGTGCACAGGCAGGTCAGCAGTGGGGGGATGCTGGGGGGTGGGGGACTCCCTGCTGTGCTGAGCCGCCTGCACAGCGATGCCGGGGCAGGGGTCTCACCTCAGGCTGGCGGGGTGTCTGTGGGCCGGGACTTGTCCTCGGCCTCTCTGTGCCTCCTGGGCTGGCACCTGGCCACAGGGTCCCCCAGGGAGGGCGTGCCACCACACGTCCCCACGCTTCCCCGGAACCAGCCCGGCTCTGCCTACCACCCCCCGCCCCAGGAGCTCTCAGCACACACCCTCGGGGCTTAAGGCGTTGGCCCCAGAGCTGACCAGTGGGCGGGTAACCACGGCCCCGAGACCTTGACACAGCCTGCCTTGGCCGCCAGCGCTCTCTTCCTACGGCACTGTCCGCCATGGAGGACGCAGGGCCTGCCCCAGGGCTCCTCGTGGGGTGGCCAAGGTGCGTGCGGTGGCCGTCCTCCCTCTGGGGCGGGCCCCTCACCCCCAAGGGGTGCTGTCTTGGAGATGCGAGCAGCAGACAGGCCAGCCCCAGGCGTGGATGGGGCCGCAGGGCCGCGGGGCCTCAGCCTCCCGGTGCAGCAGGTGCTAGGCAAGCCCCTGGACAAGACGCAGCAGCTTTCCAACTGGGACCGGCAGCCGCTGGGCGAGGGGCAGCTGGTCTACGCAGGTGGGTGCCCCCCGCACCCCCGCCTCGCACCCCCGATTGTCCGCACGCTGGAGGCTGAGGCTGACCTTGCCTGTCCCAGCCGCTGATACCTACTGCCTGCTGGACGTGTACTGGGCTCTGTGCAGAGAGCCTGCCCGCTTCCACCTGTCGGGGGACCTGGCCAGGAGCCTGAGGCTGGGACGCGGTGAGAGGGCGGGGGCTGGGGAGCTGCCGCCCCTTCAGAAGGCCTCGGCCTCGCCCCAGCAGGTAGGCAAAGCCCACCAGGGCTCCTTTATCTCGATTCCTACGGGGAGATCCCTGTCCTTAGAACTGGGACCTTACAGGGTCGGAGAGCGGGGTGGGCGGGGGGTGTCGGGGAGAGCTGTGCAAAGGGCTTGTGTCCCGCACGCTGGACCCTCCGCCGGGAAGGAAGGAAGGGTTAGCTTCCTAAAGGAGGAGGGGGTCTCAACGGTCTCCTGACACCAGGTCTGGAGTGCCCCCTGCCAAGTCTAGGGCAGCCTCTGGCCGCGTCCCCGTGTGCCCCGGGGACCCAGGCCCTGCTCCAGCGTGCACACGACCACCCCCGCAAGGAGGCGTGTGCCGGCTCCCCTTGGGGCCCAGTGTGGGTGACCTGGTATGATGTTTGCGGCTTTTCTGCTGTTTTCTGCACTGAGTACACGTTGCTCAGGATGAGCTGACCTCACGGCCCTTGGGACCCTAGCTCCCCACCGGGTCCAGGGTGGGCCAGACGGGCCACAGCTGCTGAGCGGGGCTGTGTCGCAGGTGCCCGTGGGTGAGGACGCGGCCCCCGAGGTCCCAGCCAGGGCCTTCCGCGTGGTGTGTGACAGCATGCTGCAGGGGCTGGCGCGGAGACTCCGCTGTCTGGGCATCGACGTGCTGGTGCCGGCCACGGGTGAGGACCACCGCAGGGCCGCCGAGGTGAGCAGGCCTCCTGCGTCCGCTGGCAGAGGGAGCAGTGTCTGGGGTGGCTGCAGGGCCCCAGCTGCATGGACCCCCGCGCCACTGGGGCAGAGAGCGGGGCCCCCCTGGATGCCGGGGTGGAGACATTTATGGCTCCGGCACCTGTGGTCTGCAGGCCTGGAGCCCTTGAGGACCCTTTGGCGGGTGGCCTGACACGGGCAGACTCAGGGTAGTCCTGGTCCCCTCGCTGTCTTTTGGCCCCTGGAAACGCTGTGTGCCCGTGAGGCCCTCCCCTCCTCCGAGAAGCAGGTGCTCACAACACCGCTGGAGGCACGAACCCCCCAGGGCCCTGCAGAAACCCCAGCAGGGCTCTCAGAATCCAGGGGTTAGAACATGGCTGGTAAGCGTTTGTTACCAGGTCTCCTGAGATGTGATTTACGCACCACACAATTTACAGTGTACAATTGTACATTCCCAGAGTTGTGCAGCCATCACCACAGTCAATTTTAAACCACTTCCTTCATCCATGAAGTTGTCCCCCGCACCCCCTCCCCAGCGCCTGGCAGCCTGGCTTCGGTCTCCGGGGAGCTGCCTGTTGCGGACACTGCATGTCAATGGACTCGTGCACGTGGCCTTTCGGGCCTGGCTTCTTTCACAAGCGTGATGTTTTCCGGGCTCAGCTATGTTGTAGCATCTGTCAGCGCTTCACTCCTTTTTACTACCAAATAACGTTCCATCAGATGGACCGCAGTGGATCCATCCACCCGGCCGCTGATAGACGCCTGGGCTGTTTCCACTCTCGTCTGCTGTGACTCATGCAGCTGTGAAAGAGCATAGAGGTGGCCAGGTCATAACTTGGATTTTTAATATGTGGTTTCTTTTATGAATTTGAACACATTCTTCTGGAAGGGGTCCCCAGGCTCACCAGGTGGGTGGCTGGAGCAGAGCTGGCCAGGGGCCCTGGGACTGCAGAGCTGTGGGGCGTCGTCAGCAGTGGCCCTTCCCTCCACACTCCACACTGCCAGCCAGGTCCTCCCAGCAGCCCCCACCCCCAGTAATGAGGAAGCTGGGGCCGGAAAGAGCAGAGGGGATCTGCCCGGGGCTGCAGGGGGAAGCCGGGAGCCTCCCGTGCCGGCCCCATGTCCGCGCGAGGATGTCCACTCTCCCCAGCCCCTGACCCCTCACAGCCGTCTCTTCCAGATGCCTGGTCCTGGTGCCCAGGGGAGGGGGATGTGGTCGTGCCTAAGGTGGCTCTGGACGCCGTCCCTGTCGGAAACCCCTCTGTCCCCAACCAGGGTTGTTGCTAGCTTATGGGGGCTAAGACTAGGACGGCCAGCCTGGCATCTCGAGGACCGCAGACCAGGCGTCAGTGGTCACGGGACCCAGGGAGGAGGGGCCTTCCCAACTGGCCCCGAGAGTACCCCGGTCTCCAGCAGACGGAAGGCAGGGTTTGGCCCCTAGTCTGCACCCGCACTCCCACGTTACCCTCTGAAGTTTTACATGATGCGGCCCAAGGGAGTTGCAGGTGTGATTTACTTGTCAGCTGACCTCAAAGGGGCCCGCCCCGGAGGGAGGATCTTGGATTATATGGGTGGAGCTAATGTCATCACGTGAGCCCTTGACAGCAGAAACGGAAGGCAATCATCAGACTCAAAGCACAGGAAGGATTCGGTGTGGGCCGCAGGGCGAGGAGACGGACCTCCATCCAGCAGCCCCCGGGACTGGATCCTGCGGCACCGAAGGAGCCTGGAAGCGGGTCCGTCACCAGAGCCGGGCCGCCGGCACCGGAACACCAGGGGTCCTGTGCGTGACCCCCTGGGGCCCACCCGCTCCCACCCCACAGAGCTGAGTGTGAGTTCCTGCTCAAGTGGCTGTGGCCACGTTAGAAAATCAGTAGATCTGGGAGCCAGGAGTGCAGCGCTGCTGTGCTGATGCCTCAGACGCGGGAGACGGAGCAGCGGGAGAGGCTGGGGAAGTGCTGGGGTCGTGATGGCCCAGACAGAGCAGAGGGGGAGCCGAGCAGGGGGCGGACTGGAGCCAGGGCTTCAGCCCTCGGCACCCGGAGCGTCGCAGCCCGTGAGGCCACGGGCCCAGGGCCCTCCTAAGGGGTGTGAGAGGGGGACCGAGGTGCTTATTCCTGGGCTTGGAGCTGCAGCTCGAGCCCCTGCGTTACAGACGGCCTTTACCTACGTCTCCCGTGAGGCTTTTAACTTGTCCCCTCAGCCTTGTGGTCGGAGCTCCCAGGGCCTCATCCTCAGTGCCCACCCTGCGGGGGTGGGACGGATTACTGCCACCCGCGAGCGGTGCTTGCGGCAGCATTCTGGGCCAGGGGCGACTGCGCACTTCTCACACCTGCGATGGTCGACGGTCGACGGTCGACGGGTCGATGGTCGTGGGCGCGGCTGGAGCCCTGAGGGCGTTTTCTGGAGAGGCCGTCTCTAGCCATGGGAGCTGCTGTGTCCCTTTGGCCGTTTACATTTTCTCTTCTGTGCATCTTTCCCAATCACGCGTTCCGCCATCCAGACCCCGCGAGTGGATGAACTGGCTGTTTGGTATAGAAGGGCTATACTGTGGGTTTTGACTCCTATGATGAGCGCTGTTAACACTCAAACATTTTTTAAAGAAATGCAGCACTGCTGGTGAGGGAAGGGAGGAGGGTCCTGCCACGCGGGGCAGAGGCCCGGGCGCTGTGTCCACGCTTGCGGGCAGTAGACCTTTCAAGGATGAGCCGGGGCGCCAGCCAAGCTGCACTGAGGTGCACCCTGGGCCTCCTGCCGCTTGGGCTCAAGTGTGAGAGGACGGAGCCCGCTGAGTGAGGAGCGTCAGCAATGAGGAGCTGGGCCGTGATGTCTGGGGAGGGTCTCAGCCCGTCTGGATGGAGGAAGACACCAGCGTTCAGTGGGGGCTTCCCCGGGCGGCCACCCTGGCAGGAGCCAGACTGAGGAGCAGGTGCACGCGCGGACAGGGGCGCAGAGTCTGCCCCGCCGGAGCCCCCGCCGCCACCTTCGTCCTCGGCTGGCTGCTTGCAGTAGGTCTCTGTGTGCCTCCAGGCGGTCCTGCTGCTCTGGGGACCCCGACGGATACAGATGTGGGGAGAGAAGAGTCTCCAGGAAGTGATTTCTGAGCGGTTCTGGGGTCTCTGGGACTGACCTGCTAACCTGGTAGACTTAGGGCACTGAGGACCGGTCTGCAGGGGTAAAGAGGCCACTGGTGGGCCATGCTGTGATGTGGCCAAGCTCCTCGGAACATGGCTGGGGTTCCCCGTGGAGGCCCTGCAGAAGGAGAGCCCGAGGGGCTGGCCAGTGGCCGGCAGGGCCCAGGAGGAAGCCCCTCAGTCCTGGGGCCTTGGTGCTGAGGCAGCTCAGAACCACAGCTGGGGCTCCGTCCCGTGAGCCGCTGGATGACAACACACAGGTCGCACTCGCGGTCGCTGCTTCCCTGTCCGTTTCGCCAGCCTTGTCGGCAGGAAGTCACATCTCGCTGCACTTTCGCTCGCCCTCCTCCGAATATCAGTGAAGCTGAGCATCCTTCCACACGCTCGTTCGCTGCTTGTGCCCCTGTCCTGTGAGGTGCCCCGGGCAGAAAGCAGCAGGCCTGACCCTGGGCTGGGAAGGACCGCTGGCACAGGTGGTCCGGCCGGTAAACAGCTGATGGAAAACTTGCCCCGAATGGTGGGAGGGGCTCATTGTGCCCCAGCTGTCCAGACAGTGTGGTCTGCCTGGACGCCTGCTTCCCTTCCGGGTTGCAGGGGGTGCCTGGGTGACTGAACCGCAGCGCACACCATGGATGCTGAGTCACTAATGCATCTGCCCGGTGACGCGTGTTGCGGTGGCCGGCGCAGGGGGTGCTCAGCACAGGCCGACTCCACCAGGCAGGCTCCGGGGCTTGAGTGGTTTCCTCTGTGCTTCGTCCAGGTGCTTTCCGTAAGCTGGTTCTGCTTTCTGTCCTTCCCTGATAGTGTGCTCAGTCCTTCCAGCGAATCCCCGGACCTGGGGGTGGTGTGGGGACCCTGCTGCCGCTCCGTCCTCCTCCCTCTGGCCTCAGTTCATCTTGGCATCTGCAGGGGGAGCCCCACCTCGCTCCCCCTCCGCCTCCGCCTTCCCGTGGTGGTCTGGAAACAGCCCCTCTGTGGGCTTTGCTTGGAGCTCGTTGACAATGAGCCAGGGTGGGGACAGTGACGTGTCATCACATCGAGTCCTCTGTGCGTGAGTGTCGGTCTCGCTCTACTCCGAGGGTTCCACGCACGCACGTTTTGTAAGCTCTCCACAAAGCCCTGCCACGTCTATGAGGTTCCACCCCAGGAACCTTCTGCTTTGTTGCCACGACGCGTGGTGCTGCTTTCTTTTCTGCAGATACACAGAACTGCAGTGGACCTTTAGTTCTTAGTTGCCTGAGCATTGATCTTACATCTGGAAACCTTGCAAAAATCTCCTAAATTCTACCGAATTGATTGTCAGTTCTTGGGGTTCTCTTTGTGGACACATCTTCTGCAAACAGGATGGTTTCATTCCTCCCTCTCCAGCCTGTATGGGTCTTATTTCTTTCCCTTATCCTGTCCCAGTGGTCGAGGCCTCCAAGGTGGGGTTGACTAGGTGGTGACCGTGGCCATCTGTCTCAGTTCTGACTGGACAGGGAATGTTTCTCCGTGAACCACGGTGGTTGCCAGGCCCCCACACCAGGCTGGGGAGGCTCCCCGGGTGCCATATCCGCTGCACGTTTCATCATGAAAGAAGCTGAATCCTACCTGATGCTTTCTCTGCAGCCAGTGAGAGCGTCCCTGTGATCTGTGCACGTGACGAACCTTTTCAGTCTGGACCCAGCCTAGCCGGCATGTCGCGTGGCTGGGTCTTGCCTCCAGGACCGTGTCTGACACAGAACTTCTCTTCCTCACCATCTTCTCTTTCACCTCATAAACAAGCTGGGGAGTTTTTCCTCCTCTCTGCTTTCTGCTGCTTTGAATAACATTTAGATTATCCTCTCAAACATTGGCTGACTTCCTGCAAGGCCTCCTTAGCCTGGTGGTTCGGGGGGGAGGCGTTTCCAGGAGTCTCTGATTCTTTCTTATTTAATGGTTTTAGGACTACTTAGTTGTCTGCATCTTCTTGAGTCACTTGGTAGTCCATACCTCTTCCTGGATGTGCCCATTTCACAGAGTGTGTCACAGACGTGGTGGTGTCCGGCTCCTCTGTGAAAGCTCCGCGGTGCCTGCAGGTGGTCGGCTTCATTCTGATTGCTGCTCACTTGTGCTCCCACTCTTTC